TAAATTAACCTATAGTTCTTGTCTATGTTTACCAATATGACTTGATACCTTTTTACAGTGAGGCATTCTCATCTTGCTTCCTTTGCATCTGATTTGTGACTGACTCTCTACCTTTCCTTTTCCCAGAATTCTCTTATTTTCGTGGCCCCACATATGCTTCCGGCCTGGTTACTGGACAATCAGCATTTTATTAAATTGGAACGAGTGATAAATCCTGACAGTGTATACGAGTTTTATCACACAGCAATTAGACACACAGAATGGAAACACACTTCAGAAACAAGAATCATTGTGCCATCAGGTTAACATTCCTTCTGAAGGTCTCAAAAGAGAATCTGCTCCTTAATCTCTCTGGCTTATCTTCCATCTTCAAATTATCACGGAGTCAGTGCTTCTGTCATTGTATGTCCTGTCCTGATGCTGAATGACCCCTAACTCATCCAATGATAAGGCCATTGTAACTGTTCTGGTCTACCAGTCCATTCATATACACCACGAGCCTTTCTTTCTCAAATGTAGAAAGCCCCCTTTGCAATTTGACAAAATATGGCAATCACATTATTTGCCCTGGAGTTGTAGAAGGAACATATTTGTATAGACACAATGTTTTTGTCTATCATACTTTGAAAATATCAAGTACAAAACTATATATAATTGAATAATTGTTACTAAAATAAAAATAAATTTCTTCCATCCTCCCATATTTGATGCACATAGATTTATGTTTAAATGAGACTGTTAACTTGATATTTTCTCACTAATTTAGTGAATTAAGCTGTCAGTCGCAGTAGATAAGGAAGATACACAGTTTCACCTCTTTCCAATGCTGATGCAGGAAGCTGGCATTGGTGGCTACTGGAGCTATGCTTTATGTAATGGGAACTAGCCCATAAAACAGATAGTGAAACTGTGAACCATAAACAGCATTTGAGCTCTACCACAACAACCTGCAGAGTTCAGATTTCTAGCCTGGGTTCCTTTTGCAGGTTATAGAAGATCCACTGACTAACCTTTAAAAAAAAGGCAGGTTTGTGCTCCCAAGGAAGAGAAATTTTGGCCAGGGGTAGCAGGATTCAAAGTCAAGTTTTAGAGGAAAGTGGTTTCAGGGCAGCTGAATTATAATTACCAGATTCACACCTCTTTATCATTAAGCATCTTACTATAAACTATGAACAATAAAAAATTCCTTTGTGGTGATGAAATCAGCTTAACATGGGCTACAAGTTGTCCTGCCTATACTTCCTGCCTGGCTACAGGCCAATCAGTGTTTTATTAAAATACAATTTCCAGGGTATAAACCATTGTCCCACAGAACACATGGGTGATAAGTGCTGCTTAAAGCCATCATACCTCCTTCAATGACTCCTGCAAAATTTCAACTGGGTCTTCCTGGACCACATAGTGCTTTTTATACTGGAGCACAAATCAAATCACCCTGGCCAACATCAGATGACTGAAAATACCTAGAATTTAATATTGACTGGGAAGAACTGTTAACCAGTGACTTGGGAATTTGCCAACAACAGTTTTGGGAATTTAAGGAAGTTTGTACTTCACCCTAGCTCTCAGTTTCCCACGGGATTAAGCACTAGCTGATCACTAAGATACATTAATGTCTTCCTGACCACTTGTTTTACCTCCATTGTTACAAACTAGTACATCCTCCTGTGTTTTCTAGGTAAATCGAGATGAATTTCACCTCAACATATACTCTTGGCAAGAAGACATTTGGAATTAAAGGGGTCAAGGAAAGTGAACTAACAAATTAATCTTGTTTTTGTTTGTTTGTTTGATTGGTTTTGTTTTTTGTGGGGAGATACACTTTCTGTAAGAAAGTCTTGGGAAAACAAGAATAAACTAGACACTTCAGTTGTAAACTAAAGTGGTCTTAGTAAAGGTTATCTTGTAAAAAAGCATCAAATGTGCACACACACATAAGTGTATGGATATGTGACAGTCAAAAGGCAGCTTACAGGAGCATCTCTCACTTTCCACCATGTGTATCCTCCAGTATTGATGGTGTTGAACTCAGATTTGCCAGGCTAGGCAACAAAGGCCTTTACCTGCCAAACATCACCAGTCCCAAGAAAGGCATCTTTAGAACTGATTCTTGAGGGAGTTGAAGAGATGGTTCAGTGTGTAGAATACTCGCCTTGCAAGCCTGGGATTAAAGTTCAGTATAGTAAAAAGGAGCGAACCTCTTTCCCAGTGCCCGGCTAGCTTAGCCCCTGAAATAACCACACAGAAACTGTACTAATTAAATTACTGCTTGGCCCATAAGCTCTAGTCTCTTATTGGCTAACTCTCACATCTTGTTTTAATCCATTTCTAGTAATCTGTATATCACCACAAGGTCGAGGTTTACTGGGAAAGATTCTAACCTACATCTGTCTCAGGCCGGAGATTCATGGTGTCTGCCTGACTCTGCTCTTCTTCTTCCCAGAATTCTGTTCTCTCATTCCTGCCTACCTGAGATCCGCTTTATCAACTAGGCCAAGGCAGTTTCTTTAACAACCAATGAAAGCAACACAAATACAAAAGGACCTCCTACACCAGTTCAGACCTACAGAATTCACTTAAAGCTGGGTAGACATGCCAGCTATCTGGCATTTCAGAACTTGGAAGGCAGAGACAGGGGAACCCCAGAGCAAGCTGGCTAGCTTAACTAGCCAGGATAGATGATCTCCAGGAAGTTCAGGGAGAGAGCCTGCCTCATTAAATATTGTAAAGAATAAGCTTTGGAGATGCAAGATGTCAACTTTGGATCTCCACAAACAAGTACTCTAAGACACATGCAAGTATGCACACAAATACATAACATATACATGGCAGGAAGTTGGGTATAATTAATCTTAGAAACCTGAAAATGGACAACTCAAACAAAATTGATTTTTTCTGGCTATACCATGTGTATGCTATGTTATCAGAATTGCCAGGACTCTGCTGAGGTAACCCAGCATGGGGCATAACTGAGGGTGATACAGTGGTTTGTGCAAGCTCTCTGGCTTCTGAGAAAGATTATGGCAATGGGCATTGGAAGGACTGTGGAATTCCAGAGTAGTCCAAGTGTCATCCATAAGAGGAAAGAAGGAAATAACAGAATAAGGTGTTTTGAATACCAAGTCAGGGCAAGAAAGAAAGCCAGCAGGTTTAAAGGGCTAAATGAAAGGAGACTCTCATTTTCTTCAGGTGAGAGATCAGACTGGAAACTGGTGGGATGGAAGAACTTGGGAGATACGATGTGATAGAGACAAGCAAAGCTACCTCTTCCTGCTTAAAAACTGAATGGAAGATTGACCCATGAGAAAACGTGAAAGATGACCACACTGCTGTCTTCAAGGTCTATTCCATAGTTGGATAACCAAGGTCAAGTTGCAACATAGCTTCACGAGGAGAGTATCAACTCTGTATCATGAAATACAAATCATCAACAGTGGCTTTTCACAACTAGGTGAACAGAATTGGACTCTCCCATCTTCTGCTCTCCAACTCATGAGGAGTTTCAACTGACATTTTAAAGTTGGAAAACAAATAGCCCCACTTGCCCCACTTAGGTAGGCCTACTCTGATGATGAACTTTACACGTTTCCCAGGCTTATCCATAGAGGTCCTAACCTTGACACAAAGGATAAGTGGTTAGTCAGTGAGTCAACTGCCTTTCCACCCATCCTTCCAATTCCTGAGGTTGTGTTTGTTTGATGTTTTGTTTTCTACCCAACGAAAGTTCTTGAACCTAAATCTTTGCCTGATGGCTTGGTTGCAGGAAAACCCAAACCAAGAAATTGAGATGAAAATCCCAACACTAAGATCAATCAGTATCCTTTGTCTTCCCCAAAAGTGAAGCAGCAAAGAAATACACTTGTGTCAGATTAAGAATTTGATGATCTTAATATTTTAGGACACAGTCTGGATTTTAGTGGCTACATTAAATAAGTGTTGACTGAATAAGCGAATAACATAAACTCTGTTGCCATACCTCACAGAGTGACAACCTTTGCCTATAAAATAATGACTATTAAATAGTTTAAGTTTCACAGGGAACTCAGTGTCTGTTGTAACTACTTATCTCTGTTGTTGTGTAAAAGCATCTGAGGACAATATGCAATGAATGTAGATACATTTCAATAAAACTTCATTTGTAATCACATGCCAGGCCACAAGGCATAGTTTATTAGTCCCTAGTATAATCAAGTTGGTTTCACTACCAAATAAGTTAGAGGGAAGGCAGAGGAGTTCAGGTGTCTCTGATGGCTATTTTGATATTTTTAAAATACAAACTTATTTTATAGACATTTTTATAATTCAAGATGACTATGCTTTACTGGAAGCTTCACTGACCATTAGAGCGAATTTACAGTGCACAAATTATGAAGAAATAAATTGTTACACAATAAATAGCAAAGGCAGATGCCATAGCTGACTTGATAGGGGTGTGACTCAGTAGCCCTCTCTAAAATGCAGTTTCACCATCTATGGTTTCAGTTATAAGCAGTTAAATGTGCTCTAGAAATACTGAATGGAAAATTCTAGAAATAAATACCAGATGAATTTCAAATAACTTTGTAGAAGTGCATTATGTTTTAGTACTGTTGTTGGTATCTTAAACCTAATTCAAAACTATTTTAAGGGGTATATATACAGAAAAAACCATGACGTATATTTACCTATATATGTGCATGCATACACACATACATGTGTATATAGGCTTAGTTCGGTGATATCTATAGTTGCAGGCATTCATTGAGGGCCAGGAACCTATTGCCTTGGTAAAAGCAGAAGATCACTACATATATGTCCCTTAAGAACGGACAGCAAAATAGGGAGGGATAAGTACAAGAAGGTGAAGTAGCCTAAAAGGCAGATGTGGTGTTTTCATTCGTATTGGAAAAAGAAATCATAGATTTCATTTGTTTCCCTCTTGAATATCCAGTTACTCGGGCATACAGACCAAGGTTCTAAATAAGGTCCGTTAAAATTTAAATAGCCCCGAGATTCTAGTCTGGAGCGCGCTGTGTGGTTGCCGTTCCCCAAGTGGTATCAGGCCCAGAAGTCCCTTTGCTCAGTGCGGGACACGGAGGAGGGCTATGGACATGTTTTCAAGCCGCCAGATTTGCTGACAATCAAATCTCTCCAGGCTCCTGATAAAGACAGCTCCCAGGACCCACGGAGCGCTGTGGGAACCCTGAGGGAGAGTCAACATATATGGCCAAAAAAAATGCCAAGAAGGAAGTTACAGGCAGGAGCTGGCATCAAGATGCTGAAGAGGAGGGAACATTCTCACTGGCCAGTCAGGATGTCCTGAGGAACAGAACCATAAAGAGAGCTAAGCGGAGACACACCAGACTCCAGCCAGATGGAGGAGGGACTTCCAAAGGGATTAAGGATTTGGCTATGCCTTCAGGAAGAGGAGAATTTAGCAGTGGTCCAGGAGAGAAGCCTCAGGAAGGACCAACAACCAGAAAGTACACGGTCAGGGCCGCAGCACAGCCCAGGGCAGTCCTGGGTTCTGTTACTGTAGATGGCCCCACCTCTTTGGACCACGATCAGCTCTCAGGTCCCCAGCCTACTGGTCACAGTCAGCATCCTGCCTCCTTCGGCCTTAGTTTCAGTCAAGCCTACGCTGGGAGTGTCTACCATAGGCAGTTGACCGGCCTGAATTGCTCTGTCCGGGACTGGATAGTGAAGCACGTGGACGCGAACCCGTTCTGTGATCTGACGCCTGTGTTTAAACAGTATGAGAAATACTTAGTCGCCATAGAAAAGCAGCTCCATAGCAGCTGCGGCTGTTTCTCTGAAAGAGAGCCCAACAGGGGCTGGGTGGGGATGCAGCCTCCTTCCCAAAATGATGCTGTAGAACTACAAGCAGAGTCAGTCACATCTGAAAAGGCAGAGTTTATAGCTGAAAATAAAGCGGATCCATACCAAGGAGCAACAAGTGCCTCATGTAACTTTGGCAAGAACACGGAAAGTCCAGTTTGGGGTTCCTTAAGCTCTGGTCCCATGAATGGGGTTTCATCATCCACCAGAAGCTCCAGCGTGATTGGTAAAGGTACCACCCAGAGGAAACCAGCGTCCGCAAAAGAGAGTCCAGAACAAAGCTGCAGTGAAGAGTGCAAAAGCAAATGGGACGAGCCACCCAAGACGGTCCTCACAGAAGCGAAGGAGGAGGGCGTTTTCTACTCCAAAAAATGCAGGCTATTTTACAAGAAAGACAATGAATTTAAAGAAAAAGGTGTGGGCTTGCTGCATCTGAAAGCCACAGCCAATGAGAAGACGCGGCTCCTAGTGCAGGATAGCAAGTCAGGCAACATCCTCCTGAACATTCTGATTCCTCCCAATATGCCATGTACGCGAATGGGGAAGAATAACGTCCTCCTTGTCTGTGTGCCCGATCCACCGCTTGATAAGAAGAATGTCACTACCGAGGCCACTGTGCTGATTCGGGTGAAGACAAGCAAGGACGCCGATGAGCTGCACAGAATTTTACTGCAGAGAAGGGGTGCGTGAACACACAGGTTCCACTGGGGACCCTGCCAACGTCCTGCTTTTCCCTCTGGCTCCCAAAACGCAGTTTTTCATCTGTTTCTGCTTATGCCACCCTAGCAACTTCCATATAACAAAAATTTTGTGAGGAAAACGAAAGTCAACAAAAATACCAGTGTTCAGTTGAGTGTGGAGAAAGTGTGCTCCCTTCTTAAGAGTCTCCTAACATTGCAGAATACTTTTGAATAAAAAGGTTTTGGAATCTTTTTGGTATTTATTTACCGAGTAAATTAAGTACAGGTGACTTCTTAGGAAAAAAAAAAGTAAAGTCAGTATCCCATTTATAGGGGGAGGGACATTTTACACAGTTTAGAGTGAGACCCTCCCTTGCCTTGGTCTCCTAGAAGATTGCCTACTTGTAGGGCCACCCTCTTCCACACCACAGTGTGTCTGTCTGCTGCATTCTCGGCCTAACCACAGTGGCTATCTATGCTAGTGCTGAAAGTGCCAAAGGCTTTGTCCTAGATCAGGGATGGCTTCTGTAGGGTGCTGTATAACGTTTAGCAGTCCTTCCAGAGCTGTGGTTCTCCACCTGCCTAATTCTGTGGTCCTTTAAGCCAGTTCCTCAAGTTGTGGTGACCCCCCAGCCATAAAGTTATTTTCATTACGATTTCAGAACTGCAATTTTGCTACTGTCATCAATCATGATGCAAATATCTGTGTTTTCTGATGGTCTTAGATAACTGCTGTGAAAAGGTCTTTTAACCAACCCACAAAGGGGTTGTGACCCACAGGTGGAGGACCACTACTCTGATTCTGTTTCCATTCCTGTGGTACACATGTACTATGACTTTCTCTTACTGATCTACATCTACATCTAGGAGAAAATAAATTGTGGATGATGCTGGTGACATAAATATCCCCTGTCCAAATCAAGTGAATGGTTTCTGCCCACAAAAGTAAGTACCCCGACAGACAGTGACATTCTTTGTACGTCCAATTCTCATTCAAACCAACTGTAAAACATTATTATCCCACTAGAAGTGGAATCAAATCTCTGAGAGCCATTTATTATATCTGTGTGAGCCATGCCTCATCTTTTCAAAATTAGCCATTAAAAGTAGACCAACATCAAAAAGTGAACCAGATAGGAAGAGCTGTATGGTTCAATATTGTGTCAGACATGCCATGGGAATGATAGATGAATAATTGATCAAACAGATTGACAGGTAAGGTGAACAGAGCTGACCAGACAAGATATGAAGCCAGGAGGCAAAGCTAACTAGCTAGAGTGCAACTTTCAAATATACTTTATAAGAAGAGTGTGTCGGTTGGAAACCGTGCAAGACCTCCTGATCGAAACCCCGTGTCTTGGTTGTAGTGTGCCTCTTCTCAGAGAATACCCTTCTTTAATCATCACAGGCTTCTATGTGAGCTGCCAGTGGGTGGATAAGCTTCATGAGAACATTAGAAGTCTCACAGTAGCCATGGAAACCTGCTGATGGTCAGGTAAAAGGTGGCTGTCAAAAGAGGGGTCAAAGGGACCTATTGAGACCCACTTGATTTGTTGACAGTTCCACAAATATATGTGGGTTTCTGTCACCTTTATACCCCATTACCCTCTTATCCCACTCTTTCTCCTACTGAAACCTTTCTTCCTCCCCCTTGTGCTTTGATGTCCTGTGTTGGGGAGACAGAGAGTGTATGTCACTGAGTTCCATTATGGTTACTTAGATGAGCATGAGTTGGGGGCCAATTTTCTAGACTGTAGGCAACTTATCAATGACCATACCACTGAAGAAAATGACAATCCTCCCCCAGAAGGCCCACAGTCTCTAGATGAGGGGTGGGGCCTTTGAAGCCCCTCCCACCACACGATGCAATGGTAATAGACCCAATCTGGTTTAGGAATAGTGCAGGTGGGCACAGCTACAGTGAATACATGAGCACATTGGTTGTGCTTCGTCTAGAAGACAGTGTTCCCCATCACTTTTCCACATCTTATGGCTCTTCTTCCTGCCCCTCCCTCTTTTATGATATTTCATGAGCCTCAGAGAAGGCAATAAAGATGTCCTGTTTAGTGGTAATCACCCAATAGTCACTTGGTGTTCACATTCTGACCATTTGTGAGTCTGTCCTCTGCCAAACGAATCTTTTCTGAACAATACCGTACTAGAGAGAATAGGAAGCATGAAGATCCCAGAGAACAGTTCACTGCAATCATCTAGGGATGGCACAACCATTGTAACCATGAACTCAAGGGAGCTGAGCAATCAGCATTGAGGCAGTAAAAGAAAATTAGTCACAAATGGGAGAGGAACTCATAGGCTCCTGATCTCCCATACTAAGCGATTTGCTGTGGCTAGATTCTGGGAAAGGGAAGTCAATGTCTTGAGTTGTATATCGACCAGTGAGGCCACCAAGTTCCAATGAATAGTTCCAAACCAATGGTCACACATATTATCCTGATTAAACTCAGTGTGACATAAAATTAGCAGATGTGAAGACATGGGAAACAAACTTAAAGAGGAAAGAGGGCTGACAGGAGTGAGAGAGAGATAAAAAGGGTAGGGGTGAGATCAACTCAAATGTGTTATATACTTGTATTAAATTGTCAAAGAGCGAATTGAGAAGGCAGTTTGACACTGTCCAGTTAACAAAGCAATAGTAGTAGATTCTCCCCTGGGACTTATGACCTCTCTAACCACCAGCTAGACCCATTTTTTTTAAATTAAAAATTATCTTGCACATTTATCTGTCAAGTTGAAGGAGCTCCATATTTAGAAATAAGAGAAAGAGGTCATGGTGAGATTTTGATGGAAAAGAGCTATTAGTAATTGTTCCAGTGTGGTGAAATTTAGAAGAGAGAGCATTTGAATGGGGGTAATCACTTCTGAGCCATGCTGTCATAATATTGAGAGTTAAACCGTTATGCATAACAGTCTCACAGACTTTCCACTGCCAGACACCTCTGTAATTTATGAAGAAAAGGCTTCTTTAAATCACAACAAAGATGAGAGTTTGGGGGGCTGTCCTCTGTCAGCTCCAATTGTTCCAGATTGATGGAAAGATATGGAAAGCAAAGGACATTATTCGTATTGTCAAAACAATTCTTCAATGTTTAAATTTGATTTAGGAGAAAATAAATTACGCAGTTTTCACCAACCAGGCATCTGACAAGAGTTTTATTTGGTGATAGTGCCATTCAAAAGCGAAAGAATGAAAAAAATTACCCCCTCTGACTGCATGCACTTATCATGACAAAATATTTCCATCCATCTTTTCAAAGCCCCTGCGCCAGAAAAATTATGATGATAATTTATAAATCATATGTGATATTATGACATACGCTGTTTCAAATATTAGAGGTTAAGAGTTCAATAGTGACATATCTAATTTAGGGGTTCACTCTGGCACTAATGCCACTTTAAAGCAAATAAATCCTGCCATAGAGGCCAGCATCATGAGTTTCTACACATGGCATGCTAGTAGCTCCCTCTTCCATAGTTAGAGTAATCTGGAAAGACTCTGGAATTGTCAAAAGGCCTTTTGATTTGAGCCCTACGGTTCTTCAAGGTTACTCGGATGTTTTAGTAAATATCTGCACTGAATCTGAATCTTAAGAAAAATCTAGGAAATTATCCTGTAGTTTCCCTGCCAAAATAACTCTAATGGATTTTCAGTAAAGAGGAGAGAGGAGTGGAAATCTAAATAGGTGTAATATAAACATTTATTCAAATCTAAATATGCCCGATATTATGTCAAGTTGAATGTAGAGATTAACCTATGTAATCATCCAAATGATCCTATGAAGTAGGTAAATTTATTACCCTCGTGAGAAACATGATGGTGAGATAATAAACATTTTGTATAGGTTTCCACACAGAAATTCCTTTAGACTAAAGTTCACACCCAGACAGGGTTGTGCAGAGCACATTTTACACATATCTCTACTGTCTCTTGGGACATAAAAGCTCCTTTAGGAAATGTTATACAGATATAGGGGAAAGTATGCTGTCTCCTGAGCAAACTAATAGACAACCTTTGATAGCTGATGAGTTGTCACTGAATCAGGGTCACATCCACTTACAGATACACTGTTTACAGATGTTGCTGTAAGGCCACACTGAATAGAAGCCACATATTATAAGGCCTGTAAAGAAGCAATTATTGTTCTTATATTTTCTTTAGTGTATGTATGTTATATGCGTCTGCGTGAACATAGATGTGCTGGAGTGCTCATCCATGCATGTGCATGTACAGGCTAGAGGTTGACCATGTCATGTGTGGTGTGTGATTTCTTTCTGGATTCTGTAAATACCATTGGTTAATAAAAAAAAAAGCTGGCTTTGCCTGGTAGGATAGAACAGAGCTAGGCAGAGAAAACTAAACCGAATGCTGGAAGAAGGAAGGTGGAGTCAGGGAAGAAGCCATGGAGACACCGCAGGAAAAAGACAAGTTGGAACCTTGCTGGTAGACCACAAGCCACATGATAAAATATAAAATAATGGAAATGGGTTAAATTAAGATGTAAATCTAGACAATAAGAAGTTAGAGCTAATAGGCCAAGCAGTGATTTAATCAATACAGTTTCTGTGTGGCTATTTCGGGAGTCTTGGCTGCCGGGAAACAAACAAGCAACCTCCTACTACACATGTGCCTTTTTATATCACTCTTTATCCTAGTATTGGAAACAGGGTCTCTCACTGAACTCAAAACTTGTTTCAGCTGTCCTAACTGAATAGCAACCCCGGGAACCCACATATCTGTTTCCCAGTGTTTCCCAGATTTTGTGAATGTGCCGGGATTCAAATTCACATCTTTGTGTTTGCCAGCTAAATATGTCACCCACTGAACCATCTGTCTAGCTCCCAAATAATTATGAATTGACCTTTTCCAGAAGTCTGTCACTGATTTAGACCTTGTCCTAGAAGCTTCAAAGCTATTCCCTCCAGTGGCTACAGAAAGAGGCAGTACGTGAATTCAGGTGAGTTCCTTACCCAGGTTCTCACCTGGAGGACTCTCTAATGATGACAAGACAGCCACCAGTAGAGAGCTAGAGCTTTCAATGGGCCATTCTGGGAAACATTTTATTGAGGTTAATACCATAGTCCTCTAACACTCAACAAGGTAATATCGCATGGCACAGCGAGGCTAAAGGGAACCAACCCAGTGCCCTCTCCACTTATTGGTACACAGAGAGGCCTTTTCTCTTAATGTCCTGGGAACAGTTTACAAAATGTAGAGAAAGTGAGATGCTCC